TGTGGACGTGTAGCATTACTTGTTGAAAAGATGGGTTTATTCTTTATAACAGAACAACCACATCCATCAAAGCTTTGGGAAGAATCCGAGTGGCAGGAAGTATTAAAATTGTCAACTACTGTCAGCATAGTGATTCACCAATGCATGACCGGCCAAAAGGGCCCTGATGGAGGACCAGCTAAGAAACCCACGAGATTCATCGCTAACCATAGGACTCTCTTAGAACCGTTGACTAAGTATGTTTGTGATGGAAGTCATGAACATGAATTACTTGAAGGAGGAAAAGCTAGTCACTGTAAACTGTGGACATGGAAACTAGCTACATCGATAGTAGATGGAATAACTAACCTTCGAGAACTAGTCAACTCAAGAGAGCATGCCTATCCAACCATCGGCACGAGCACTGATGCATCCGAGCCAAGCAGTGAACCTGCTGAAGATCCAGATAAGAGACCAGCAGTCTGCCCAGGATGTAAAGGACATCTAAATAGGAATGATCCAAGGCACACTCGTGACCCTGACACCTGTAAGTATCCTTTAGATGCCCCCGTAATATGGACATGTCCTGGGTGTAAGAAAATGAAACCTGCTGGTGACAGTTCACATACTTATGCCCAAGGTGAGTGCAAACACATGACCATAGCTCACCGTAAGGGCATTCATCGAAAAGGCCATCATCCCAGAGAGCCAGCCAAGCGAGCTGATGAACTTCCGGTTCAAGACTCTCAGGCCCAGCTGCCTGATGGAACCGATTTGGGAGCCGGTGAAGGAGCTGCTAGTAGTTCAGCCGTAGAGGCAGCACCACCAGTAGAAGACAGGATTGTCCCTTACAATCCAGATGACGGCGAACCTGCCGAAAGCAGACTCCGAGGCCCCTATCGAAAGTTCCGGGATGCGGCCGCAGGTAGTGAACATCCATCTGACTGGTCTAGATTTGATGTCACTCATAGTCTAAAAGACTTGAGAAGTAGTCATGAACCAACTATTATTCGAACACTCAGGAAGCTGCATTTAAGATGGTGGCATGCAGGCCCCGCCAACATGACTAGCGTTTTAAGAAATGCAGGCATACCTGAAGAAGTCATAAGCTACATTCCTGACATCATTTCAACCTGCCGCGAATGCCGCAAGTGGGCACCAAAAGCCAAGGATACTCAACCCTCTGTTTCTTTGGCCATGAATTTCAACGAAGTAGTAGAAACCGATTTGATGTTCTATCGGGAATATGTTGTACATCATTTTATTTGCAGAGCGACCAGATGGCATGTTGCTGTGGAAACTCCCAACAAAACAGAAGACCAATTAATCACGAACTTTCACACAGCATGGGTATCCATCTTTGGCCCACCTCAACAGCTTGTCACCGACAGTGAAGCTGGTTTGACTTCATCCAGTGCTGAAGCAAGATTGAAGCGTATGGGTGTAGTCTTAAAGGTAAGAGGCAAGGACCAACACGCTCGGTACATCGAAAGAAGAGGAGCGATCTTAAGACATGCAATGCATGTGATGGAATCCCAAGCCATAAGAGAAGGTATTGACATCAACTTCCCATCATTACTTGCCAATAGCGTCTTTATGGGTAACGCACTAACACATGTAGGAGGAGTTACACCCTACCAGGTAGTGATGGGAAGACAACCAGCATGCCTTCCGCCAATCACTGACAACGCCGGCTTGGAAGAGAGAGTTGATGCTCGCATCCGCGAACTTGCATTGCAGTCTATGGTTTCAGCCACGAGTGCATCTCGTATCAAAAGAGCTCTGGGGTCCAAAACTGCCTTGTCGGGAGAAAACCGTTTTGCAAAAGGAGACTTGGTAGAGTTATACCGAACGCCCCCGAGCAAAGACATGAGTGGCTGGACCGGTCCATATGAAGTCGTAGAGTGTGTAGCCGCAGATGGCATTGTAGCTCTTAAAATAAATGGACAGACCAGACCATATCGCCTCCAAGATGTACGCCCAGCACAATACTATGCAACAGTTTCTCTTTATGGACACACCAATGCGGATATCTGTTTGAATGCCATGGAATACATCCATCAATTTTTGAATGAACTCCCTGATGGCCGTGTTGAAGTTTTTGGGTATGTAAATGACAGACTGACGAAAACCACCAAGCGATGGCCCAAAATTTCAAAAGCACTAGAGTTCATCATAACAAATTCCCTCCAGATGGATGATATCTGCACTGTAAGAATTGGACATAAAATCAAACAGCTGCAAGATCTGAACGACAGATACCGCAATGTGATTTTCAATTGGAACATGAACAACCCAGATGCAATGCTCATACATGTTGCCGATCATCCGAGACAACACATCAACAAAATCTTTGGCCCACAAGAGTCCTTCGTCGCAACAATGCAGTGTTTTATGCTAGACAGAGATGTCGGGATGACACTTGATGATTTTGAGGAGAGAGTGCTGGACCGTCCGTCGGCTATGGCGCATCTCGATCGAGAGATCGAGGTGGGTCGTAGTGATGGGCGGCTCAGTACGATCGCCGAGGAATCTCAAGTTAGCATCGACTCTCCAGAGGTTGAAGCATTGTATATACAACACTTCGAAGGTGCTCCCAAAGAAATCCAAAGTGATCTCAAGGAGCTGTGCTGGGTAGTTCTCAACGAACCAGTAGATGAAGTAGCAGATGTGGAGATTAAGGATGATTGGTGTTATTTTTCAAGTCCAGATAACCACAATGATTGGGATCTAATACCACCAACAGTCAGTCCAGATTTCGACGAGTATGATCACACTTTTGAATTTGATGAAAATGATGAACCATTTCTTGAAGTGTTGATCTCAGAAAGTATCACTGAATGCTTCCAAGACAGTCGCGATGTGTCTGAACCCAACACAATGAAAGTATTCCTTAATGCAGAAGCCAAGAAAGAAGTCATCGAGAGAGATACGGACTTGCTTACTGCTAAGGAGTTGATTGACCATCGCAAAGAAGTTGATGAAGCAACAGTTAAAGAGTACGAAACCTGGCATAAGTATAATTGTTTTGAACGAATCCCCAAAAAGAAGTGTAAAGTTCTGATCGACGCCAAGCTAGTTTCTAAGTGGAAGTATGTAGACGGGAAGCGCATCATCAGGATGCGATTGGCCTTGCGAGGGTTCAAGGAACCGCAAACCGAAGATGAAGTGAACTTCTCGGCCACTGCGCAAAGAACATCCCAAAAGATTCTAGCCAGTGAAGCAGCCTGCCACAAAGATTGGAGTTTTGTCGCTGTGGACATAAGCAAAGCATTTCTTCAAGGGCTTACCTTTTCCGAGATGAACAAGCTGACTGGAGAGCCCGAGAAACACATAAGCTTTACCGTCCCAGCAGGAACAGCCAAACATCTCAGACGGATCCCAGGATATGAAGATTTTGATGAGCGAACGGAAGCTCTCAAGTGTCTAAAACCTGGCACTGGCTGCAGAGACGCTCCCAGAGCATTCAACTTGAGGCTAATCAACATCCTCAAGGAATTAGGGTTTCGAGCATCTCTATATGACCCCCAATTATTAATGTTACATAAGAAAGAAACCCTAGTCTTAGCTATAACCGTCCATGTAGATGACATCAAGATGGCAGGTCTGAAATCAGAAATAGATTCTTTGGTTAAAACTCTGGAAGGACACTTTGGGAAATTGACATATCAAGAAAGTGAATTTACAAACTGTGGTATTTGTCATAAAAGACTTCCAGATGGAACCATCACACTTGATCAAACAGAATATCTTAGTGCACTAAAACCCATAAACCCAAAACACTATGCCAGTCTCCAGAAGGACGCACCATGCCCCGAGCACCTCAGAGCGCTGTATTGGAGCTTGTTAGGAGCCGTTGCCTATTCCGCCCTAACACAGGCGTGGGTCTTAGTCTATATAATTTCCCTCCAACGTGTAACTCAGAATCCCACCGTTACACATGTCAAAAGACTGAATGCACTCATCCGAGAGCTTCAACGTCGTCTCCAGAAATTAGAGTATAGCTCAATGACTTGTAGCAGAGTTGTTGAGCTATATTCTGATTCAGCATTCTCCAGAGAAAATGATAAGGGATACGCTTTGAGAGGTGCAGTATACCTTCGAATGGGCACTGATGTGAGAGGAGTAAAGAGATGCCATTTGATTGAGGCCGTTTCTCAATCTCATAAGCTCGTGGTGCGCAGCACATTCGCCGCTGAGCTGTTGGCACTCACAGCATCCGTTGATCAAAGTTTTATAATTATAACTACCCTTCATGAAATATGTTTCGGACCTCTTAGCCCCCAATCCAGTATAAATTTAAGAGAAAATGGTGGTTACCTTATCGAACTCTATGTCTGGATAGACGCCAGGTCCGTTTTCAGTGCGGTGGAAAATGAAAATTTCAAATACCCAACGGAAAAGTCACTACTCTCTCATATCTCATGGATTAAGCAGTTGACCACCTCGAAGATCATTCGCATTTTAGGTTGGGTCGACACACGCGACATGATAGCCGATGGAATGACCAAAGGTTCCATCGATCGGTCGCAACTAATTAGTGCAATGAAGGGGTATGTACGAAGACTACACCCCGCTGAATTCATGAAGACCAGAGGGACACGTCCTCTGGCGAGCACAGATACTGAAGTTTGAGCTCGAGCCAGTTACAACATCTTACCAACTTACAGGAGAACACTCGACTTGAAAGGTACATGATCTACCATGCCTCAGGTTCATTGTTATCCATGTAACTGTTCTGGCTCTAGAGCTCGACCTAGGTAAACACAAGACTTCGTCACAAGCGGACAGAGGAAAACAGACATTTGCGGAAACAGTACTTCTTTGTCACTTTAGTTCCTCTCTTTTTCGAGTATGTTCACATTTTCTTTACAAGTTCACTATATATTAATATGTAGTACAAACATACATTGTAATGTGATATGTAAATTGTATATATATATATATTATATGTGTGTTTGCCTTGGGGATCCCAGAGCCCAGAAGCATCCCATGCGACATCGGTGACATTTTTCGACCAGGATGATGAGGAGTTCTAGCCGCCAGCACCGCAGCCTTCTCAGCCACCTTGACATCTGGAAGTTGGGAGTTGGGACACGGATTTGCCGTTGTTTCCTTCAACCTGTTCCGTGAATTCATGTTTTTTTTGACTAACCTTGCAGTAATGGAATCTAGCGATGAGAAATCCAAAGTTTGAATTGGTAAATTACTCTAGTGGAAAATACATGTTTTTTTTGAAATCATGTGTATATACATGGTAGGTTCCATTGCCAGTTTGGATTACCACAGGATAACCCAGAGTTAACGTGTTTACTTTGAATACTCATGTTGACCCCCGATAGATGTACCCTCGTCGGCTACAGTAAGTAGGCAAGGTATGGCATGGTTGAAATTACTACTGAAGATGATGCCTCCAGGTTTTGAAATTATGAAGAAACACATGGAGAATTGACCGATGTTTAGGTTGATGATCAGAGGTTGGTTGCTGTAGTTTAAATACGCTGTTGAATTGAGATCAAATTGGGCACGTAGCACATAGACGTGCAAAAGGGACCAAGGACAGGTTCACACGCTACCCACAAACATCATGAGTGTAGCACTTGGACTTCGATGATCACAGATACTTCCATGATTCCATTCCGCCAATGTAGATTGGGTCTGGCAATGACTTGCCACACAGAATTAATCATCCCAATCCATCCCAGAGATTAATGCACCTGTGATCACCTGTGTTACCTTTTCTTCGTTTCCTGCATGCATCTGGTGGCAAACTGCCTCAGCACCTCAGGTTGCAGCGTGGGGTCGCATGACACTGCCAAATTTCCGCCCTTCGCTGGAGTCAGTTTCAAATCATGCTATGATGATCTCGAGACTGAAAATGGCATTGATCATCACAAAATTGAAATATATTGGAATATATTGAAATATATTGAAATATTACATTGATGATCATTATCATTATCATTATCAATGCCATGTTCAGTCTGTGACTGTGATGATCATTATCATTATCAATATTGAACATGGCATTGCTCTTAGTTGCTGAGTTTCAAGCCTCATCCCAGCGATCCGGATCCGACGTCGGTTTCCAAGGGATGATGTTGATGCTCCCACAGCAAGCTTCAAACAAGTCCAGAAAAGCCTTGAGGGGCTCAAAGTCGCGCGGGAGAAAATGGCAAAGTCCAAGCCCAATGGCAAAGTCCAAGCCCAATGGCAAACATACGTATATATATATATGTATACTATGTGTATACATTTATGTATAGAGCACTGGAGTTAAACGACCATAAAGATCCATAAGATCCTGAAACATATCCTGTTTGGAACATGATTTATCTTGTCCAAACATTCCATCATACGCAGGTGTATCTACACCACCATTCGACAAAGCTGTTTGTGTGCACTTTGGACAACAGACCTGGGCTTGAGAATCAACTGTCGTTAACTAGGTGTCATACCACAGAAGGTATAGGTTTTCCACTTCCATCTTCTTTTAGCCAAACAAGAAATACCAAAGTTGGATGGTGAAGTTATATGTGTTTTTTTTTTTTTGGAAATGTTTTTCAAATCATCATTTTGTTGGTCAAATCCAGTTCTATAGTTGATTTTCCGAAATTGTTTCACATTAAAACCTCCATTTATAGGGGATTTCCTGGCCAGACATGTTTGAGTACTGCAGGGTAATACTTTAATATCCATGGTATGATCTTCTTCATGTTTGTTGCTTCAAATCCATCACATCTCACCTCAACAACACCATTCCAACGTCCACAGGACAGGGCGAGCCGAACAAAGGCGGGGCCAGCCTCTTGGTTTGTATGGCTTGCTTTCGAGCCATCAGCCATATCTATCCATATCTATCCATATCTGAATTAATATGTTACTCTATAGTAGTGGATATAGTATGATAATGTATGATAGATATATCCATATCTATTAATATAGTGTTAATATGTCCATATCTATAGTGTTAATATATCCATATCTGAATTAATCTATAGTATGTTACTCTCAGGATGAACTTCGTTGCTGGTTGGTGGTTTCAGCTATTTGGAAGGAATTTACATGGAAAAAAACTTCCTAATCATTTGGTTATCCCAATAGAAGCTGCCAACGCCGCCCATGATGGGCAAGTGATTGGAGACACCCTGACCAGGTGAGCATGAACACTCCAGTCGAAGGCTGGGCCCGCTGGGCCAGCCATGGGGCCCCATGTGGGGATACAAAAAACAGCCATGGCCCAGTAAAGATGAACTTGATGGGCCCTGGGGTCGAGTTGCTGTGTAAGAGATATTATGAGATATTTCTGTACTTTCTATCCTGATCAATGGATACAAATGGGATGATGCTTCCAAAGTGACGCAGTATTCATCAGAGGGATTGAAGCCACGAACCAGTTTTAAGGCCGACCATTTCAATGATTCTTGCTACCCTTTGTCCAGTGAATAATCGAACCTCCCAAGCAGTTTGTGTTTTTTTCAGCTCTAGCTGTGCTTCTTGGCTAGCCAGGTTGTCACAGGTTTATTGTTATTACCCTCTGGTTATTTAACATAGCCATGGAAAATAGCCCATTTATAGAAGATGTTCCCATTAAAACCTCCATTTATAAGGGATTTTCCATGGCTATGTTAAATAACCAGATGGTACTGCCAAGCAGTTTCAGGTATGATGTCGAGAGTCCCAGGACCCGTTTCCATCCATTTCCCGGTTCCGTGATACCCAGCCATCACGTTTTTTAGGCGCAGAGGAGCAGTGACGAAGTGAATCTCTGCCGCGATTACCAGGTTTTACCAGGGATCAATTCGTCGCAATACTGGCAGCTGGTGAATTTCAGATGATGATTTTGCGCATCACCTGCCCCTCGGACTCTTCGACTGGTATGTTCGACTGATGTTTGTGCTAAGTAGAGATGGGTACCTTCTGGTATATAGCCTATTGATATCTACTCATGCTATTATATTCTCACATATTCTCACTATTCATGTTTATACGATCTTATACTCTCAATGGAAACGATTGGTGCTGTTGACATCTTTTGACCAATTTGGCACTTTCCATCCGTTTCCATCCGTCTCCATCCGTCATACGTCGCCAAGTTTCCGCGATCAATGCGCATCGCCATCCGCCGTTTTGGGCTGCCCAAACGCCAAATTTGACTTCAATAGCAGCCACAATTGAAACTAAAATAAATCTAAGGATAATTGGTAAATATTGGTAATTAGTGTTAAGCGGAGTTTAATGAACCTTGATTTTCTGAAACTTTAATTTGGAGAGCACCGGGGGACCGCCCGCGAGTGGTAAATAATGGTACCCTTTCAAACTAAATCAACAGGTCGATTTCTTAATCCACGTTTATCATTTAACCAAACCAGCTGGCAGTTTTGGACGCTGCGGTGTAAATTTTACGCCGCGGCCCTGGGTGTGTGGAAGCTGGGATGAGCGGGACCAAAGCTGATCTGCCATCGCAGGGACTGAAGAAAAGTGAATGTCTTGTTTGGTTTGTGTGGGTGTGGTTGGTCTCCAATTCCCCAAGAACATTCAAATAAGTCTTTGCAAAACTCGGATGGCCGAATTTGACCTTTTTCAGGCGGAGGATGTTGAATTTGAAAAATACAGATACAGCCATCAAATTTCCAAATTTCAATTGCTAAACGTCACCTCAGAGGGTTGTACAAATGGGATGGTGAGATAAAATAGGTACTATCGGTCGTCGGACTCCGTAGCAGCAAAAACGGCTAAGGTAGCACCAATCCCCAACATGATCAATGGCCATGACTCAGGAACCGATTGATTGGAGGTACCAATCCCATATATGTCTGGCCTATTTGTTGAGGCCTAAATTTCAGGGAATATCCCCACAATTCATATGGCCCAATTTATATGGTAATTCCCATTGACATGACCGGTTTTTGAGGATTTGTTGGTGCTACTGAACCATATGTCACTACAATAGCAGCCACCAAAAGTCCAAAAGCAAAATGTTGGTGGATTTTTGACTCAACATTTTCTATGTCAAGCAGAAACTGCAGCAGCTGCACCTCGAGTCATCCAAACTGAGGATCCACTCCATCTATGGATGATTTACCCCTCACATGCTGACATCCCAAACTATCCGCTTAGATCACCTGAGTGATTCGACATCTTTCCACTTGGAACCCACGTACCCTCTGGTAAACTAACATAACTATGGAAAATCACCATTTTCAATGGGAAAATCCACTATAAATGGTCATTTTCAATAGCTATGTTAAATTACCAGAGGGTAAATCTAACAAAATCCATGGTGTTTATATGTGTTCATCATGGTTCATCATCATTTTCCCCATGAAAACTGGCCCATTTTGACTTGGCGCCAACTCCCCGTCCAAAGGTACGTGGAGGAGCTGGCCGCCACTCATCCCATGCTGCTGGCTTTGGTGATCTTCGTAGGCGACGCCACTTGAAATGCTAATGGTTGGTATATAGTAACCCCTCCAAAAAGATTGAAGTTGGGAAAAGATCCTGCCTAAGATATAGTGATCAAGTAACTTGTCGATCTATTTTGCAGGGATGTTATAACAAATTCTGAAGAAATTGATAGGTTCTTCATTATTCTTCTGTCTGAAGATGGTTGAATTTGTAATGTTGAAATGTGTTTTGCAACAAACAACACTTTAGAAATGATGGAGCTATGGAATTTGTGACTCGAACACACTTTAAGATCTTTCATTAAGGAACTTGTCTGGGTAGGCGCAGGCATGCCCAAAACAGACATCTCAATGGAATGGTTTGATCCATTAGAACTCACAAGAGATTCCAAGGATTTTTCGAGCGGCCAAAGCATGAGCCATGTTTGCTTGTCATTTTAGGATGAAACTGGAAGGATGGACACTAGGTGTTATGTCAGTGCAATAAACCCTGACCCTGGCTGATGGATTAGGGACGATTCTCGCAAACATAATGTGTGTGAGAGAGACTCCTTCAATTCAACCACGCAGCTATTACTTTTGAACATTCCCCTTTCACTAGTCACTAGCATAGTGTAGCATCAGTTTAGCCCCTACTGTAGTTTGTACAATGTGACGCCCTGGGAGTAGGTCAAATCTGATTCCCCGCCCCAACACGCAGGTTCTCATGTTGCCCTCCGTTGGATTCCTCGCCGTTCTTCCTGGCTCACTTCGACACCGAAAATGGTCACAGAGAACTGGATAAAGAAATTCGGACATCCTCCAAGCAGCCAACATAGCACAGATTTCTGCGGCAAGCGACAAACTCAACGATTGGGAAAACACCAAGCTGTGAGGCGGCATCTTCCCTGGCCAAGCTGGTGGTAGCACAAGCAACAACGTGGGTTAGTCCAAGACGGTGTAGCAATTTATAGCAGCAATTTGAATGGAAAAGATGATGAGGATTGATTAACCATCAAACTGGATACATGTTCCCATGATTTTAAGGTACCAAAACAACTTTTTTTTTCTGGTCCAAGCATCTCTGCACAGAGCCCGTCATGCCGGTGGCTCAGAATACTTTGAAGGCACAGCGCCAAAGCCCTGGGCAAATGCTAGTGGTGAACAAACATGGTCCAGTTAGGTCTGGAAGATCATCACACAGATATTTTTTTAACATGTTTTTTTACATATTGACATATTGTTTTTTTCAATGTGTTTGTTATGTTTTTGTTCCCGTTTTAGTCATACATGTGGGTACATGATGGTAAATGTACACCGATTTCCATGGAGCTCTCACGGGCAGAAATGGTATGTCCATGGCTGTACAAAAGCCATGCTTTTGCGGACGACTCATGGCGAATCATCATGTTAGCCATATCACCCATAGGATCCATGTATGGTATATATGCTAACATTGGGGCTATATTGATGGTAAATGTTACCATATATACCATACATGGATCCTATGGGTCATGCCATATCCCAAGTTTCCGGCAAGCTCATTTGTTGTTGGTCAATGTTGGTCACATCCCATCAACATCCATTGATCATATGAATCATATCCCATTGTTATTGTATATTTATCATATTGTATCACCAGAAAATGCGTGTTCTTGCAACCCCATTTTTGCTTGTATCCAACTATTTGCAACTGAAACATATTAAAATTCAGTTTAAATAAAACGCATTAAAGTTTCGTGGTACTGTATTGTTTTTCCCTTTGCTGCTCTTGTTTTCCACAAAGATATTGGGTACACCCCAGGATTTTTAGACACACCCGTGCGTGGATTTTCAGTGAGCCAGGCCACCCAGTCTGCTAGCGCCTTGAAAGCTGCGGCATGCGCCACCTTGAACGATACAGGTGGGCTTGGCCATGACATGGGAGGTATGTTTCGGATCTACTAGTACCTAGTAGCTATATCTATGTCTATGTACATGATGCCTACATGGATCTATATGTTTTTCCCCCTGAAACTGGTGCATATAGGCATGCACCCAATTTTAAGATGCAGAAATTCATGGGGTGATGAATAACCGGTGGATTTTGTGGGTGGTGCAGGCTAGTCATCTATGGGGGCCCTGTGGTACCCCACTTTGGGAGCCATGGCCGTGTACAGTGACAACCCAGACATAGCCAGATGGTGACAACCGAATGCTCCGTGAGGGTGATGGTAGTGCTGCCTGGAAGTGGCGGTTTTGGTTTCATGGGTATATAGTATATCATATAATAGATTATACTAGTATATATATATACCCTATATATAATAGATCTCAACATTTCACAACATTTCGGCATCTCTTCTTGTTAGTGTTTTAGGGATGCTGTGTCCAACCTTAAGCCATGCACCCAGAATGTCATGACGCCACCTTGCACAATCTTTGTCCAAAAATTGGGGGATTATGGCCATTTGGGTTAGGGGGAAATCACGATCAACTGCGATTTTTTTGAGTATGCCCCAAAAAATGAAAGTCAAATGCCGATGATCACATTATTTAAATTATGTTCATCCATTGTTCCCATTCAAGTTGCCATTTTGGAGGTATCCCTCATTTTTGAAGAGGCTCACAGTAGATCGGCACCTTGGCGTCGAGGCTATGTCAACAATGCCACCATGAAACTTTCGCCACAAGGCACTGCTGTCGACAAATTTTTGCCAAGTGACGGTGATCGAAACCAGCGAGTCTTTATTCAATGTGTCAATTCGCGCGGCAAACACATTCTAACAACAAAAAATAGAAGATGATTTCCTTGTTTTCGAAGTATTAGGATATATTAGGATGCATTAAGAATATGTTTTCTAAGTATTAGGATATATTAGGATGCATTAAGAATATTGCCATGTTTGGGCATGTTGGAGCCAATGTGCCAGGAAACAGAACCATTCTGCCCAACAAGAATGTCACGACTCTCAAGCCACGTCCTGAGGTGGTCGGGGCTGATGCTCAGATAAAAGCGTTGGATCTTGTTTTTTTTTATTACTGTAGACAGAAGAAGAGGATATAAGAAATATAATGATTTATAGATGTATCATTTTTTCCCAGACATACACGAAATCGTTAAAATTGGTTGACGATGTTACATACTGTATATTTTTTTTACACATTATGACTGATATTATGACTACATGTTGTTTTTTTGGATATCTTAAAATCATGCTTTACTTATGCCGTCTGCACAATCTATAGAAGCGGCAGTTGGAACATGGGAAACCTCTGGTAGTTGGATGCATTCTGATGGGTTGTAGTACACAGTCGATGGCCATGGGGATTCAATCCATGATGCCGCTGGTTGGTGAGTCGTGACTCCCCAACAAATGATGCTTGAGGCCCATCGAGACCGTTTGGGATGAAGAGCACGATGACCAGAAGATGCATGAGCAGAAAAGGACGGATCAAGTGGCAGAGTCAACCTTGTTTGTATTGTGGCAGGGGATGTTTCTGTGCAAAGATGTTGCAAAACAAGTTTGATGGATAATATATACATACACATACATACATACATACATTACATTACATTACATTACATTACATTACATTACATTACATTACATACGTACATACGTACATACGTACATACCTACATACCTACATACCTACATACCTACATACCTACATACCTATATACGTACATACCTACATACCTACATACGTACATACGTACCTACGTACCTACGTACGTACGTACATACGTACGTACATACGTACATACGTACATACGTACATAAGTGTATACATAGATACATAGATACAAAGATACATAGATACATAGATACATAGGTACATACATACATACAAAACATAACATAACATAACTTAACATTACATTACATTACATACATAACATACATACATAAATAACATACATAAATAACATACATACATAACATACATACATAACATACATACATAACATACATACATAACATACATACATACCATACATACATACCATCCATACATACCATACATACCATACATACCATACATACCATACATACCATACATACCATACATACCATACATACATAGATACATAGATACATAGATACATAGATACATAGATACATAGATACATAGATACATAGATACATAGATACATAGATACATAGATACATAGATACATAGATACATAGATACATAGATACATAGATACATAGATACATGCATACATGCATACATGCATACATACATACATAGATACATAGATACATAGATACATAGATACATATTTAGTTAGATAGATAGATAGATAGATAAATATATAGATAAATAGATAGATAAATATATAGATTAGATAGATAGATAGATAGATAGATAGATAGATAGATAGATAGACAGATACATACATACATACATACAAACATACACACACACACACTCACTCCAATTCATGTGTACGACGTTATGCTCTGTTGAAGCATGCTTTTATCATTTGTTTTGTTTTTTCAAACAATTGAGTTCTCGATGGTTTGCAATGGTATTTTCGCAGGGACACCAATGGATGGCGAAGGCTTCCAAATCTTGCCATGATGATCACATGCACATCTCCCCCCATGTAACAAAGTCGAAATGTAGCAACACTCCCTATAGTAAGTTGACGTTGAGTTTCCTTTGCGCGATCCATAGACAAGATTCATAGCCGTTTGATGTTGTTGGGATACTTTGCAAGGTACGGCTTTCTTTAAGCAACCCTTTGTCCTGATACTTCTACCTCTTCCGTTTCTATTCCACCTAGATGTAGTGCAGTCCGCTAAAAGCATAGGGTCTCCCATCGAAGTTCATGGGGATCCAACATCACCCAACATTGCTAAGGTTTGAGACCTTTGACCCTCAAGTTGTACCAGTGGAAACGATGGACGTCACCAACATGTTGGAGGTTTCCTATAATGGGGGTACTCCCGGTTGATCATCCATCCATTTTAGGAAATCTCCAACATATTATGGATGGTTTATCATCCGGATTTTTGGACTTTCCGTTATAAACCATCCAGCTATTAGGGCACCGTGGGAAACCACCCGGAGGAAGCTCCGGTCGATGGCGAGTCGTTTGGAACGGATGGCAGGTGTTGCTACGGCCGCGGAACTGGATAGGGGGTCGATGGGGGAAAGCATGTTGTGCAATGGATCTAAAGAAGAGCTGGAGCAGGTCTAAAATCCCTGAGAATCAGAAAAACAATATCATTGCACCCGGTGACATATGAAGGTCCATCATAGTTGAATCATAATCCATCTGAAAACACTCTTCTCCATGTCATCCTGCATTTTCTCAACATGTTCCACAGCTGACATCATCCATTCCACACAGCCAGGCGTCTTTGAAGAAGAGACACGAGCTCGGCAAGAGCAACGTGCGGCCTCCCATTGGGTGTGGAGGAACAATTTTAATAGGGGATGGGCGGATGGGTATGGCTCCAAAATATAGGAACTCCAAAAAAAATGCATATTTTGGTAAATCCAAACAAACATAGGAAACTCTTTCTAATAAGTTGCTTTTCCGCATCGTTTGGGGTTCACTCTTGATACTACATACAGTATATATTTGTATATACCCTAAAGTGGAACCGTTAAATATCTTGGTCCCTTGGTCAAATCCGATACTGAAATCGACCAAGATTTTGTTGGGCCGTGCAACAAAAGGATCTGTGGGAATTCAGAGTTAAATGTTTCCCCCAAAAAATAGAGTTGGAGATTTCATTGTTGAATTAATCCATTCCCCTAATATTAAACGCCCCCTTAGAAACCATGGGTTAGTAGGGAATTTCCACATAATTGGGATCATTTAGGGGGTGTTTAATATTGGGGGGATGGAATACGATGGAATTAGTTTGATAGTATTTAATTGCCTTCGGCAAGCCCGCCGGCCATAGAGAGGTGGTCCCAAGGGAGTTTGATGCGCACTCTAGGTGGAAGCCCGCGAGAGAAGCAGAAGAGAAAAGAAGGAGGAGAAGAAGAAGAAGAAGAACAAGAAAGGAAGACGAAGACAAAGCCGTAAAACGGAAGCGGCTTGTGTAGCACGTGCTGGCTGTAACAACCTATTGATCGTATACCAAATTAGTACCGGCCTCGGCAAAGTAGCGCCAGGTACTATGTATGAGCCTCTGGCTTGACAGCAGACCGCTGCATGGAAGGAGACAGGGTGGAAGTGGAGAGAGATTGCCCCAAGGGAAGTTGATGTGCACGCTAGTAGTAATAGTAGGTGGGGGGGAGGTGGGTAAACGCGCAGCAAGAGAACAAAGGAACAAGTACAAGCCAAGGACAGAAACAAGAACAACACCTTTCAATCAGACACGCCGGCAGGCCGGCGGAGTTCAACTCTAAATGAAGAAGTGGTTTCAAAAATGTCATTGCTTTCCAATGATGGCCGATCTCTAGTTGGGAGGCTGGCCCCGGCGAAGATGTCCCCTTTATACAGGGTCACCGCCCCCTGATTCCCCTTCTTGAGGATTATGGCGCTGACAACATCTAAATACAATTCAAATATATATATGTATAAATATACATATAGATATATACACAGTTTACATATATAAATACATATATATATATATACATATTTACATATATATATATATATATGTACATGTAAATACATATATATATATATATATATGTATTTATATATGTAAACTGTATATATATGATACATGATATATATTTTATATATTAATATGTATATCATATATGTATGATTTTTTCATTTATATATATATATCATATTTGTTTACATATCATGTATATATAAATATATCAAATTTATCATTTACAAATCAAATATATAATATTCGCATATATATATATATATTTCACATAAATTTGATATATATATATATATATAAATATCTCACACACATATGTATATATATATAAATAAATATTTATCTATATACATATGCATATATGTATATATATATATGCAAAATATGTATATATAAATATTTATCTATACATATTGATATGTAAATAATTATTTTTTTCACATGTGCATATATATATACATTGAATTACTTAGATATCACATATCTTATTTATATATACACCATATTATATATATATATCTTATATAGGCATATATACAAGATATATATATATATATATGATATATATATATATATGATATATACATATATATATATGATATATATATATATGATATATATATATATATATCATATATATATATGATATATACATATATATATATATTTATATATGTACATGTATATACATATGTATTTATACATACACATATGTATATATATATATATACATGCGCCCTCAGCTATCTCCCCAGTCATTTGGATCCACAGGTCCCCCGACGATTTGAGGCCGGCTCATGGACGAACTGCATGGAGAGCAGATGCAACGGATCGATGAGATCGAGGCACCTAGGGCTGGGGGGTTCTGGGGCAGTGGCGCCATGGGAGTCATCAGATGGCCAATGAATGTCAACTATTTATTATGATGAATGGTTAGTGGCTAATGGTTAATGTAAACTAATGGTTGATGATCATCTGATTGCCCACTTGTAAACCATCAAAAAAAGAGGTCAATAGTCAAATGGTCCATTTGATGTTGGGATGTTTTATTTTCAGAACAATGTGTCAACACCTTGTTTTGGATGGTGTGACCGATGGGAAATGGCATTGTTTACAACCAGTAAAATGGGACATATCATCACCAAGTCTGGGTAAACCTTGCTTTATTTGGACGGTGAAAGTGGTTTTTTTTAACCATTTTGGTGGTGGAAGATGTAGTGGGGCAGATTCGCAATGCGCTATGGGTCTCCCCACACGTTCATGCAGATCTACCTGGAAAAGTCAGACGGTGGACAATCCCCAACAAAGACCAGACATGACCAGGCCATTTGTGATTTTCAAGTTCTGTTCAATTTTGACCAATACCAATCCGGGGTTCATTTCAGTTTGTTTTGAATAGGTCATTTTTGTTTCCAGCGCCGCACAATGGGATTCTGAATGGTCTTATTGAAAAACCAGGGTATTTCGTATTAGGGGGACGGTTTGTTTCGAGATTTGTTTTAGAACTCCATGAAATTCCCATGAGCTCATGATACCTTGATTTTAGGATATTTAACATATATTAACCATATTAACCATATATTAACCATATTAATCATATCAACCATATTAACCATATTAACCATATTAACCATAAAATACCTTGATTTGAGGCATTGAATCATGTTAAGACGCTATGACTTTAAGTGACGGACCTGGACCTGGGCAGATTATGGCAGATCGTCCCAGGAAGAGTTGGATCAAGCAATGGCCGAGTTGAAGGCCTACATTGACGAGTTCATGCGGAAGTTAGGGGGCCAAGATGGGCCAAGGTGGGCCAAGAGCCTGCAAAAAGGTCCCGACACAGTTGGAGGTTTTGGGGATACCAATTGACATACTTTGACCATATTTGACCCTTTTTTGGGCCGAAGGGCATTGAAGGGTATTGAATTGAAGATCCAAAAAAAGAGGTCTTTTTGGCTTTGTTACAGGTTTCAAGTATTTATACTGATTCACGTTGAGAACTAGCAATGTACTCGTACTGATAGTGACAAACATGATTAGTGACGATAATGATGATAATGATTGTGTATCCTTACAAAGGCCTTGCTTGGACCTTACATATGCTACCGTCAATCTATCTGAAATGCCTGCTTCCGACACTAAATATGAGGATGACCTGGTGTTGGTTTAGAATCCCATCAGGAGCGCGCCAAGCGGTTTCTGCACGTTTCCCCATCGGGAGCAGAGTATAAACACATATTTAAATTTTACTATCATAACTTTCCTTCATGGTCATGATTTGTGACATTTAAAGTATATGTCGTTTGGGTGATCTCATTCGGCTGGTGTTTTTTGATACAGCCCATATTTCTGTAAGACAGCCATCATGCTTTCTTGCCACCGCTATAAAAGCTACCATGGATGTTGATCTCAAACACTGCTAATGCTAGATCATGGATGTTTATCAAAAACAGTACTGAAAACTATAGAAACAGAAACCATGAAGAAATTAGAGAACCTATATAGATAGCTCTTGGCCCCTTTAGTCCACTTAGTCCATGGGTCCACTGAGTGGCTGCACAAATGCACCGGGCTGGGCCATGCCGAGGTTTAGACAGGAACTCGACGACACCTTCACAGCGCTTTTCAGTGACAGGGCAGTGGAGATCCTTATAGAGGTTTCGAATTCGAATGGGACAAGATTGAAGATTTGCAACATTTTGCAATCTTCCGGAGGACACATCAATATGGAATAAGGCCACAGGATAATTAGCAAGTCGTGGCCTCTGGTGATTTAAGTAGCTATGGAAAGCAATGAAACGCAACATGACTCTGTAGGTAAATAGCAAATTATTTCTAGATGGGCAATGTTCCACTATGTGAAATTACGCGGAGGTAATCAGTTCCGATCACTGAAAATTGAGGGGCCAGGAAGGGAACAAGTTTGACATGTCACAACCAGTCACTATGTAGTGTCAAATGGCGGGCTCTCAAAAAAGCAATCACCATGGCAGAACTCGCAGTGAACCCAAATATGTTATATATCAGGATACATGCTAGTACAAAAGAGAAGAGCAGTGCGCAAGAGGATGCACAGTGCAATATTTGTTGTTCTAATTGTGTTTTGCATGTATGCGCCGTGAAAAATCAAACTTTGTGTAATGTGTACTGAAAAGCAATGTGGTTTGCCAAGGATGCCAAGGAAAAACAGGTTCCTTTTCCTGTTTAACAGGTCTTGGGGATCTAAGCACTCATAAGCACAGGCAGTCTGGCTGGCTTTTGATTTTATGTTGTTTCATCCCTACAAATGCGATGATGATTCACCATTTCCAGATCCCAGTTCATATGCCCATTTCCTGCGTTTGTTCCCCACTTTATATATATATACATATATATATACATATATATATATACATATATATATATACATATATATATACATATATATATACTGTATATTTTTATAGCTTTTTCCCCAACATTTCCAATGGTTACCACCATGTTTTCCGAAGGATTTTCTCCATGGTTGCCCCTAAGGTGAGCTGCAGGTGCAGGTGGAGCTGATCACTCCGCGCATTGCCGCGTGCCATGGCTTCTCTTGGCGTCAATGGTTGATTATAATAGATACACTGGGTTTAATGGTGATTTTAATGCTGATTTTTAATGGATTTTAATGGTGATTTATGGTGATTTAGTGGGATGTAATGAGAATTTACCCCCTGGTTATTTAACATAGCCATGGTATAGATGGCCCATTTATAGATGGTTTACCTATTAATAGCATGGTGATTTTCCATGGCGAATTGTTAAATTACCAGAGGGTACATGAATTGCGGGTTTATCACTTGAATCTTGTGGATTTGTAACCAAACCATACGTATGAGTTTGGAGTATCTGAGAATTGGGTATACCGGTATGACCCCTAAATGATGCCACTTCAAAAGGAACAACAATGATTTTTCTCAACGGGTGTTGGGGCAGCCTATTTTTCGACAAACCCATCATGGTTCAACACTAATGGCACTCCCGTATTAATAGCTGGTTGGTGGTTTGGAACCATGGAATTTTACGACCTTCCATTCAGTTGGGCATTTCATCATCCCAATTGACGTTCGCTCCATGAGTTTTTCAGAGGGGTAGGTCAACCACCAACCAGATAAACTCTGGCGTAAACCTACATTTGGCTGAATGGTATGGGTCCAGGGATCCCCTTCAAGGTTGACCCATGGAAATTGCTCATCTAAGACATCCCAAGACTATCATAGCTGTTTTGGTGGTCTCCCCATATTGGTGAATTCTTGTTGGTTGAATCAACAATTTTGATTTCTACTGTATGTATAATTAAGCAATTATATAATGTTCACTAAATAAACAGTATATATATATATAGTATATATATAATATATATATATATTAATATATGTATATATACTGTAGATGTACATACATAACATCCCCATGTTTGTTGGTTGGTCCCCAAGTCTTTTGGTTGATCTTGATCTCCCCATTCTCACCGAAGATCCCTCAGGATTGAGGCGCGCGGCCGTGTGTTGCGCAATGGCATCGATGAGGTACGCAGCCCCGATGGCTCTCATGGGAGCGGATATAAACCTAAAACAACGGTTGTTTTGTGTGACATTTTAGGTGAAAACAACTGTTTATTCTGTTGATTTGTTTGGATTCATGAATTATATACTAATATAGGGCATGTATGTATGGCAACATTGAATAAGTTATGTTGGTGGCGCCTGGAAAGTAGTTAGGAGGAAACCAAGGAGCTATGCAGTGCATCCCTACCAAAATAGTGGTAAATTGTTTTTACAGTGTCTTTTTCGGGGCCCTTATATATAATGTCAATTCCTGTCATCCGCTTTTGGTGAATCCTTAGATTTATTGGAAGAAGTCATATTAAACTACAGTACTGCAAGCAGTAGGTGAACCAGGATGCCAGTTATCATCAGTTATCCACTGTGGCCTCAGGAGAAGCAGGATCGCATCCGGCACTACGCTGAAATCCTGGTCCCAGTGAAGGTCGGCCATGGGGTGGATGCTGATGGGACCATGGTTCATTCCTGAAGAGGACGGGATGGCGGCAAGGGAACCTAACGAGAAAATGTTGATGTATAAGTGTGATCATATACCGGTTGTTTGGGTATGTAATGAATGGATGGTTGTCCTTTTCAAAATTGTTTCTTCAACTTTTAATTCACAGACGCATGCGGTACCTTGACGCTCTAAACATATTTGAATAGTTCGCCTATTCTATCCTATGTTCATTGTATGGATGTATGAAGCAAGGTACCCCTGCATGATACATGCTCCAGCAATGTGCCAGGCTCAAATCCAAAAACTTGAGGAGGGTTTAAGTAGTACCTTGGTGCTCTGCTGGGGGGGATTGGGGCTTGGGCTTGGGCAGGTGTTTTTTTCATTGGTTTCAGGAGGTCTTATGTTCAATCCCTATCTATTTCCTTACATTTGCTTACTTTGGGCAGCCTGTTGCACCAGATTTGTTTGTGGCTGTGTTGAAACAAGTGCAGGAAGTTTTTGTGTCAAAGTATTCAGTGTTTGAAGTCTATGTGGAGTCATATATGAGTGAACATAATGGACTCGTGTTGTTCATGACAAAATGATCCGCCAATCTGTGGTGTCTGAGGTTTTTGACGTAGGCGCCAATACCTTTGCCACTCAATACGAATATTTTCCTATATATATATACATACAATTACATACACATATGTACATAATTTGTACTGTACATGTATTGTTATTATGTATATATACATATGTGTATGTATATATATATATATATGATATAGATAAACATATACATACAATCATATATTGTCATACATACACACTTCACCAAACAAGACACCAATTATTCATTCATTTCACAATGCGTTACCATGGGGAACCCAAGTACAACCTCGATACACTGGATTGCGTCACTTGGGATAAATCACTTGGTGCAGTTTCATGCGACGAAGCTTTTTCTCAAGAGTCACCTGATGCTGAGGAGAGGAGATGATTCGACAGGTAATGCCTCCCGCAGCCTCCTTGTTTTTTTTGGTTCCAGGATTCCAGGGCGTTTTGCTTGGGAAGCAGAGGTCTGTTTGTTGGAAGATCCAGTGAAAGGATAGCAATGCAGCTGATTTGGTAACAATTAGCTTGGTAGTATTGTAACCTGGTTGGTGGTTTCAAACATTTTTTATTTTCCATCATATATGGGATAATCCTTCCCAATGACCAATATTTTTCAAGATGGTTAAAACCACCAACCAGTAATAGTGTTTTGTTATACGTTAGCGTACTTGACTTGTTGAATTTCCCGGCATTTCAAATCCCATTGCGCATGCACCTGTTTGCGTTACGCGAATTGCCTCTGTATGTCACCACATCTCATCAGTAGCATTCAGTAGGAGTGTTGCTGGACGTCCTCGCCTTTTAATGGATCAAGGCTTTTTTCAAAGCAATTTTCGAAGGTATCTTTGCCGCAAGATCATTTCGTACAGTAGAAATCTTGGGCCAAAAAACCCTCGGAAAATACGAACTAGCAGGCGATGCAATTACTGCAGGGAGGCATCCTCCAAGCTTGGTCCATGTGAGACTGTACGCCGCTGGCGGCTGTCCAGCACAACTCTTCCCTTTCATCATAGTATTAAACCCAACACATTTTGGACAATTGTTTTCTCTTGATGTTTTGGATCTTGGAATCTCCAACGGTTGCATTTTTCAAAGCAAGAAATTTCATCACCGAATTGGATCATGGAAAAATCATGGATTTTTAACCTCAGAATTGCTGATTTCAACCCTGGTTTCCGGTCAATATTTTCCCTTAACCAACCCAAAAGGTGAAGCAACAATTCCATGGTGGCCCTGCAAGGGCCTAGTTGACATCCCCAGCAGTTACTCCCAGCACTCAGCACCCACAGTGGCCCTGTGCCAGGCCTGGGGTAGCCTGTGGCCTTGCCGGGTCTGGGGATATGGGGTTCAAATTCGAAGGACCTCAATGGCCAAGCACTACGTTCTTTTTGTTCCCAATAAGATAGTTGACCCATAAATCATAAGCACCTTATACTTGTATTTCTATGTATTTCTTGTATTTCACTTCACCTTCTAACTTAGTGTATCAACCATACATGTCGATCAAAAGGGTTGATAAACCAACATGTAAACTTAAGTTAGATGTGTTGAATGATCAACCCTTCAAAAATATTCCCGCGTGAATTTGGGTCTGGAAGACTACTTTCCAACCTTGAACACATCAGCAATTCCAAGGGTCGAACTGTCAGTTTTGGGGATGGTTTTTTCCTAGGGAAAACACAAGCACAAAAAATGGAGCTACGGTCATCGCGATTTTGCGGCCTCCAAGAGCACTTATAATACATAAGAATTATATATTATATATACTGTATATATATATATATCTATTAACATAAATATATATATATAATATATATATATATACAAACCCCATTCCTAATCGAATTTAAATTTGGTGACTATCTAGAGAATGGTTTGATTTCTTGACATGTTGGAAGCATGCAGGTCAACATCACGATTGGACGAGACCCCTACCATGAAGCATTTGGCCCTTGTTCTTTGAGGCGATCAGATCGTAAGTCCTTAATAGCTTTATGCCAACAAGTGGGGCATTAGCATAGTGAGGTGCCAAGTTGGATTTTCATCTAAGGAGGGTGTTTTGCACGTTTTGCACACACAGCTTGAATTCCTCAAAATACGTGGGTATGTCTGAAAGTAGTGTATACCATGGCTGGTTGGTGGTTTGGAACATTTTTTATGTTTCCATATATTGGGAATAGTAACCCCAACTGACTCCCCTCAGTCCTTCAATAAAGGGAAATAAAGGGTAATATTTTTCAGAGGGGTTGAAACCACCAACCAGATGGTATATGATGGTATACCCAATTTTACGGTTAATAGGGAAGATGCTGACAATCCATGGAATTGTTTGGTACCCGTTTTTTTCAGCCAGAGCCACTGGATTTTCGGCCAGGCTTCGAGAACAATGCCATGGCCACAAGTCAAGAGGAGATGTGTCGGTTTCTCGACCTGCAGATTGTAGATCATCAGGTGTTGTGGTGTTGTAATGTGTTGTCGTTAGTATGGATCCTAGCCTCTAGTAAATTAGCATATTCCCATTTCAAATAGCGGGGTGAAAGATTATATATAGTTTCTATATGTTTCTATTAAGATGTATAATCATAGTTTTATTACTCATATTTATAGTTTCCACTATTATTATGATATTACCAATAGTTTCTATAATCAGGGTCGAACTGTTCGTTTACTGGAGGGTCTAGTAGTAGTTCTCGTAACTCCACTGATCCCACATCCAAAACCAGGGCTTCTCCAATGGTGAAAAATGAGAGGGAAGATAGGGAAGGGCTTCTTCAAGATATTGGCATATTAGATGATATTAGAATATATTAGATGATATTAGATGATATTAGATGAAAACTATTGAAAACTGATCAAACATGACAACAGAACTGGGATATGAGGCATATACACCTGGGAATGATGGCCGGGGCGTCACACTTTTCGGGGCTAGCTGGGATGATCATCGTGACCCCCATGTGACTGGTGTGAAACCAATGGCACTGGCCCCATGTTTTGAGGGATCTTTGCAACAAGAATGATCAATTATGATCAATCTATGTATTAATATATGTAATTATATAATATATATACATATATAAATATATATATTATATATATATATTATATATATATATTATATATATACACATGTAATTTAAAAGCAAATTATGTCGACGTAATGTAGAAATCCCAACAAGCGTGACCTCAGAGGTCCGCCTTTCGCCCCAAGGTACTTCCTACCTATCCTCAGAGAGAAGGGCACTCGCGTGAAAAAAAATGGCATGCGACTGGCGAGGCGCTGGGACGATGGACGCTGAGTCATCAAAGTGGGGGATCTCCACTTCAGTGTCATCAAACAATACTATACAACCCTCCCAAAAAGTGGTTGAAAAGTTCAGGAGACCTGGAAATATGAGGGGTTTTTAGCATCGAAGTAGAACTGGAAACACCATCCTAGGTTTTTTTTTGGGGAGTACTTGATAATGGTTATAGGCGATTTTCATGATTAAACGGTGAAGAATGCCCACTGATGGTTATGAATGGAATTACACTCCGGTCATCAAACAATGGCTGTCTGGAACATTCACTGGCAATAGCGCGATGTTTTTTAATATTTTTTTTCCCAAAAGCATCTCCGATGCTTGGGTTCTCGTTTAGTTGCACTCGCCGCGGGGGAGCGAGACTGAGTGGTCGACGGAGATGTGTTGGATGGAAGGAAGGAAGGAAGGAAGGGAAGGGAGGGAGGGAGGGAGGAAGGAAAAGGAAGGAAGGAAAAGGAAGGAAGGAAAAGGAAGGAAGGAAAAGGAAGGAAGGAAAAGGAAGGAAGGAAAAGGAAGGAAGGAAAAGGAAGAAGAAAGGAAAAAAGGAAGGAAGGAAAAGGAAGGAAGGAAAAGGAAGGACGGAAAAGGAAGGAAGGAAAAGGAAGGAAGGAAAAGGAAGGAAGGAAAAGGAAGGAAGGAAGGAAAGGAAGGGAAGGAAAAGGAAGGAAGGAAAAGGAAGGAAGGAAAAGAAAGGAAGGAAAAGGAAGGAAGGAAAAGGAAGGAAGGAAAAGGAAGGAAGGAAAAGGAAGGAAGGAAAAGGAAGGAAGGGAAGGGAAGGAAGGGAAGGAAGGGAAGGAAGGGAAGGAAGGGAAGGAAGGGAAGGAAGAAGGGAAATAGCTTGGGCAAACTTCGCTGGGAGGGAGCGAGACCGGATGCTGGACGGGATGAAGCCGTGGAAATAGCTTGGGGAAACTTCGCTGGGAAGGTGCGAGACCGGATGCTGGACGGGATGAAGACGTGGAAATAGCTTGGGGAAACTTCGCTGGGAGGGAGCGAGACCGGATGCTGGACGGGATGAAGCGTGGAAATAGCTTGGGGAAACTTCGCTGGGAAGGAGCGAGACCGGATGCTGGACGGGATGAAGCCGTGGAAATAGCTTGGGGAAACTGCGCTGGGATGGAGCGAGACCGGATGCTGGACGGGATGAAGCCGTGGAAATAGCTTGGGGAAACTTCGCTGGGAGGGAGCGAGACCGGATGCTCGACGGGATGAAGCCGTGGAAATCGCTTGGGGAAACTGCGCTGCATGGGAGGGAGCGCGACCGGATGCTGGACGGGATGAAGCCGTTGGAAATAGCTTGGGGAAACTTCGCTGGGAGGGAGCGAGACCGGATGCTCGACGGGATGAAGCCGTGGAAATCGCTTGGGGAAACTTCGCTGGGAGGGAGCGAGACCGGATGCTCGACGGGATGAAGCCGTGGAAAT